GTGTGTGTGTGTGTGTGTGTGTGTGTGTGTGTGTGTGTGTGTGTGTGCGTGTGTGTGTGTGTGCACATATATTATATATATATATTCCCTTCCCCACATCCCCTTACAAGATGCAGGAGTTTACAAGGTTGACTGTGAGTGCGGTCTCTCTTATATTGGACAAACGAAGCGAAGTAATAATTGTACCCGCGTCGAAGAACATATAGCTGTCAAAGACCGTCGCGTAAACAAGTCTGCAGTCTGCGAGCATGATATGGATAAATCACTAGTTTGGGATCCAGTATTTCTTCTGATGAAAAATTCCAAAAGACATAAGACTGCAGTACTAATTAACATGTTTTAATTTATTCTAATTTCCATTATTAATTATTAATAAATTTAACTTAAACAATTCATATTGTTACAATAAAACAATTCGTACAACAATGTAGCGTAAATTGGAATGTTTCTTTGTAAAATTAAAAATAAGGTATTTAATTAATAACTTTTGTAACTATAGTGAAAAAATAGGGTGGTTTGCATTAATATTAGACATAGCTGGTTGATGACTGTACCACCTCAGTCAACCGTGACCATGAGACCGGTAAAGGGCCCTAAAACGTTGGTCTGTTTGAAAAAACAAACATACGCGATTGAAATCCGGAAAAATAGTTTCATTTCCTAAATATTTTATATATTACATTCAGGACTAGGCCTCAATACAATTCCTTCAGTATGTCACATTTGACTCTTTAGCGCATCGCATCAAGAAACTTTCAGTACAGTTCCTTGTGAAAGAGACCATCCAGGGAAGTAGGTACTGTCACCTTAATGTAAATATTACTGCTTTCCGATATTGAAGAGATGTTGGTTAAGTTACAGAAACAAATGGATTTGTCAACTTATGTCTCAAGGTGACAGACGCAGTGGCAGTGTTCCTCAGATATTTGCGATTTAAAACTCTTAGTTGCACTGGAACTGCTATGAACAGGCGTGTCGCTTAACACCAGCCGCACGACTTTTAGCCCCGGTTGTCGTCGGCTGCACGGTTTGACATATCTTAAAAGACTTTTTACGAACTTTCTCTGACATGAAATCTTTCATTACGATGTTTTATATCCACCGTAAACGGAAGTTTATTTACCGTCTGCAACAGATAAGTACGTAGTATTTGAACAAAGTTTTGTTTGTATTGCCTACAGAGACGGAATCGGAATTGGCTCATCGATGTCTGAAGCTGTTGAGTGGTACACAAACGCGAATGCTGCCCTGCTCAGTCATCTCACCAAGGAAATCAAAGACACAGACAGCAGCACATTGTGGAGGTAAGGTCTTATTTGTTGTAGGCAATAATATATTAATAAGCATACCGGAAGGCGCAGCGTGGGCAGACCTCTAGCAAAGTAAAATCCGCTTTATGCAAGCAACGTAAGACCGGTCGTTGTGACTATTTTTGGGTAGGCCTATTTTAGACGATTGACCATTTTCAGACGTCTTTCGGCTGGAATGATGATATTGAATGCATTAATGCTTTGCAAAACAATATAATTACAAGATAATAAGGTTCATTACCTAACGAAGCGCTGAAGCATAAGCAATAGGCTTTCATAATTCAAAGTCAAATTCCAAGCATTTATTGCTAACATGTTACACAGTGGCCTTATTAGAATAGTTTCAAAATTACCCTTTCCAGATACTGCAATTACAAACACCACTATGTAGTGCACTACAATTATATTTTGTAGAATAAGCGTTTATCTATACTAAGCGGTATAAAACAATGTATTCTAAATATTCGATAAAATCAACATCTAAGCTCACAACTCATCGAGACAAAGGTCATGGTCCATAATCTGACCCGGATAATAGATGTTTACGTAAAAAAACGCAGTTATAAACCACTTTTTATTTTATGTAAAAAAAATATTCAAAATCAACAGGGTTTACGGAGTGTAACAGGGCAATCAAGACATGTTATTTAGCATATTTTGCGTCAAAACCTAAACCTAATTTAGATTAATGTCAGACTTTCTGTCAAATATTTATTTGGTCTGTGGTCAAAATAAATATGATCACACTCGAGCACGATTCCTGCGCGACGTCATTAGGAAAGACCGAAATCGTTCTCTGGAGATAAGGGATGGCTTAAAAAGCAAAAAATGTAACTCTGTGAAATGTATATCTGTGAATTACAAAATACATATACCTCTATCGACATAGATTAATTAAAATTATCACATGAGCATTACAATAGTGTTAATGCGTGTGATTATTTAAAAAAAAAAAACATTTTTTTAATTGAAACAAAGCGTTATCTCAAGTCTGAGTTGCCTCTTTTGTTAATAAAGAAGGATGGCGACATCCCGTGTATTTTGTGACCCAGTGTTTTTGAGGACGTGAATTAAAGAAACCTTTCAATACTTGTGATCCATTATCAAAGCATCAAAAAAGCTAATTGGGTACAGCCTGTAGAAGCTGGGGTTATAAAGTTGATATAGGTTATGTTTATAACATTGTCCTGTATTTCGCCTCATATCAATACAACGTTAACATGTTCTGCTACAATGAAATTGAACAAAAATATAAATCTGCCCAAATGGTCACACTGTTCTCAATCTCAATATGTTATTGACTTTGGCAAGAGGCCTCTTGTCAAAACGTTCCTTTGCTAACTTTCTTATCTCTCATTTAAATATTGTCTAAACATTTTTGTCACGTTGTGTTTTATTTTTTACTTTATGTCATTACTGTTTAATCGATTATTTCATTAGGTATTTTTTTGCTTTAATGTAACGTTATACGTGTGTACTATAAAATAACCAATACTTTAGGTAGGCAAACATTCGATCATACTTAAAGTGAGACGTACCTACAAGAACGTTACCTAATCTATGGTCGAACTGAACTGGCGTTATCTTTTTGCATTTATTCTAAAATACATTGTTTTACAATTTTTTTAATCCCGGCTTCCAAAAATATACATATTTGTTAGTTGATAACTAGGCACAAACTAAAACGTAAAATTATACAGCAAAGTCCGTGAACGGCTCTTCGTTGATTTTATAATTATTGGGTCAGCTTTCGCCATCCTTCTTTGCAAATGTTTAATACCATACCTCTGTACTATGTAATATACAGTTGAAAATCATCTATTTTCTTTTAAAGTCACTGTACAGGTATTTCTGTGTTGGTTGAGAGAAATAAATAGATACTATTTAAGTACCTCATTCCATATACAATCGTATCTTTTATGGACATTAAAATTTATTCAAACAATGTCTGTTTTATAACCGCACTTACCTACGTATAAATCTGTGAATTACAAATAACATTTTCTAATGTCGTACTTGAAGTGAGTTTTAGAATAAAGAATAAGAATTGTATTTATTATGTATTTTATTACCTATATATGAAGTTGCCAAGAAATAGTAGATGGCTACCGAACAGAGTCGCTGTTTCAACCCACAACGTATTTTTTTTTATAATATCAAGTAAAGAGACGAACAAGCCGTGTGCCTGATGGTAAGCTACACGCCTGTCCATAACAGTTGCAGTACCACTCAATGGTTTAAATCGCAAAGATCTGACGGGCACAGCCACTGCGCCCGTCACCCTGAGACATAAATTGACAAGACTCATATGCCTGTAATTTCACCAGCACCTTTACCCTTTAACCGGAGCGTAATGTTTATATTACGGCAGAAATAGGTAAGGTGGCAGTACTTCCCTGGACGAACTCTTTTACAAGGAGCTCTAATGCTATTAAAACTCGTTTTTTTTTATAATTTGGTTCATAACTATGTTTGATGAACATCTCTTTAGCTCTTTTCTCTTTTATTTGTCCGCTCGACTTGAAATTTGGTATACTATACGAAAATCGGATAACATTGCAATAGTAGTACTCTTGATCTGATGGTACAACCAGAACAGTCTGCAACAGCGATGCGCGACATTGAATGTCACTAATAACAATCATTCGAATGGGCAAATCATTCGTCTAATAGAATCCAAACATAATCATTCGACTAAAATTGAATCGAATGATTGCCAATACCGAATGCACGAGTCGAATGATTATTATATAGGATCCATGTCCATATCAAAATATTCCTGTCACCGTCACATTTTCGGTATTTACCATATTATTATGTCAGAAAGGGCTAGGTAATCAAGATTTTATTCTTGTTGATATACCCACATCATTAATGTGAAAAGATCGAGATACATTAGTACTATCTAGTTTTTAAATATCAATTAAAATGCCACAATGCTGCTGGTCACATTACAGTATACTGTCCCACATATGCTTAGGCATTATTCAACGGAGCATGCAGAATATGTAGCGTACAATGATTGGTTGTTTTTTGTCAAGCCTAATATTTACTCTGTTTTTCTCTTTTCTTTTCATGTTTTTACGTTTTCTTATAAATACTTTTGCCTTCGCTGAAGAAATTATTTTTGATTCTATTCTACTCTAAGTGTATAGTTGTGCTCTGTGGAATCTATTAGTAATGAATGATCATTCAGTTCATTCGAATACGAAAATTAGTAGGTTACTAATTTGTCATTCGAGTGGCAGGATTAGTAATTACTAACGAATCGAATATTGAAATCATTCACAATCGCGCATCGTTAGTCTCTTCAAACTCGAACAAAACTATCCAACCCTTCAAATATTTACAGCAGAACTAATTGTGTTTGGGCTCATTACGTTTGCCTCAGCGAGTAGTTAGCTTACAAATGGTGACTTTATTGTCTTTTTTGAATACACTTTTTTTATGGAACATTCCTTAAGTTCTTAATTTAATATATTATTTTTTCGAAGTCACTCCTGACCACTGGACTGTCCACAAGCCTCTTTCACGACAACTTTCCCAACAGATCCCACATAATATTTTATTGCCTTGGAAAAATTCTATTTACACCATCTTTAAGTAAAAAATCGTGTCTTTATGAAAACATGTCCGCTATATTACCATTTTATGGCGCATTTTTATGCACCGTAAAACAAATGAGCCATAAAATGCAGATTGTTAGCATCGTTTAGTAAAATGTTGCCTCTACGTTTGGCAATTTATTTGATAGAATTATAAGAATTTATGAACGCTTTAGTCAATCAACAAGTTGTACGGTGAGCCTAATAGTGATATAAAGTCGTAAGAAGAGAAATGCATACGGGTAATTTATGTGTTCTAAATTGGTTCTGGCTTGGGTGTATTGGGTAGTGCCCCAGAGTTGCTCTAGTACTCATGTTGCATGAGATTGCTTAGTTTGAGACCAGGAGTTCATCCATTCAATAGAGCTATTTGTGAAAGATTCAGGTAAGTTCGGCCACCTTACTGTTTTTGCCGCCAAGTGGTAATGTCACCATTACTATGTTTTGAGGGGTAAATAAGGGTGGGATACATGAGACTTGTCATCTTATGTCTCAGACTGACGAGCGCAGTATCTACCACCAGTAACAATCCATACACGTCCCGCTACCAGGCAAACAGAAACTTTCAGTAGTATTGGAGCTTGAAAGAGCCTTGTGAAATAGTTCAACCAGAGAAGTACTGTCACCTTACCTGCCTATTTCTGCCGCCAAGCAGTAATGTTAGCATTACTGCGATCCGATATAGAAGGAGTGTTCGTAAAATTGCAGGCACCTGAGATTTGTCAACTTATGTTTACTTACTTACTAAACTTATGTTTCAAGTTGACAGGCGCAGGGGCATTGCTGCTTTGCGATTTAAAGCTCTGAGTGGCACTGCAACTGGTATGGACAGGCGTGTCGCTTATCACCATGCGCACAACTTGTTCGTTACGTCACTTGCTATCATACAAAAGTCAATTGTTTCTGTTGGTTTTTGGATGACGGTTTTATGTCTTACTGAAACGCTTTGAAATTAACTAATCTGAATTCAAATTAGGCCACAAGCTGCAAATCCGTTTATGGACCAGCGAAAGCTTAGGTAACACTCATATGTACTGATGTGGTATAAACTATGTCTACGTTCCTGTTATTATAATGTCTTCAAAATTATTTCCAAGTTAATTAAGTTCTTAAGATCACATAAAATTTTATAGAACTGGGACAATGACGCCACCCCATACCATCACGTTTGTGATATAAGAGCTTGAGCTAATAACTGCTTATTAAATGAATTGTTTGTCATCTAGGAAGATTATCTAGGTCACGATGGATTGAAGTTGTGTGTTATGGATTTAGTCTTAACGCATTTCTTTTGAAATTGAATTCATCAAGGGTACAGTATTTAAATTAAATTAGCTTACATGGATGGCAAAAACCCATGGTAGGAACTTGTTTAGCTCGCTCAGGTTGTATTGGTCTTTTGAAATAAATGGGGTAAATAATAAATATGCACAAAGTGATAAGACGAACAAGCGACACGCCTATCCATAACAGTTACAAAAACACTTGAAGCTTTATACGCAAAGATCTTAGGGGCACAGAAACTGTGCCCGTCATTCTGAGACATAAGTTGACAAGTCTCGTGTGCCTGTAATTTCACCAGCACCCTTACCTTTCCAAACCGGAGCACAGTAATGCACACATTACTACTTGACGGCAGAAATAGGTAAAGTGGCGGTACTTCCCTGGACGAACTCTTTCACAAGGAGCTCTACTGCTACTAAACTATCAGGAAGATAAATAAACAATATAATCAGTAGTTGTCAAACCAAACAAAAACAATTCATTAAATATGTGGCCGGAATCATAATCATGATGTTAGAAGATTTTGCGAGGTGTATAAATAAATAATAAATAAATAAATAAAATGTTTATTTCAGTGAAACAATTAACTGTACATTAACAGTGGATGGTACCTCCTATTAAGCTTATCAAGCCTGTGTTAGGAGGCACCGCTCTTCCATAGCTATAAATGCATATTTAACTTAATTTAGTGTTGAATTTTTACATTTCCAAACATCGTCAAAACAAAACAATTTTTGTTTAACAATTTTCAACTGTTTTAACTTCTAATTTTAAATTTTAATTTAATTTGAATCTTAAAAGTGTGTGCATTATTTATATTATGTATATGATAAAGTGTGTGTGCGTGTGCGTGTGCGTGTGCGTGTGCGTGTGCGTGTGCGTGTG